AAAATTATCAGTTTTTTATATAAAATAGTATACAAATTCTAAAAAAAAACTGTATGAAAGACATTTGTTTTATATAATGCGTTCTAAAAAAAAAACCAAACAATACTTTTAAAAATATAGACTGGGAACACTTAAAAAAATATTAAATTATTAACCTAGCAGTTTCCATAAATTCGGATGACACACTTGAAGTTTATCTTTCATCCTTCCGTGAAAACATTCAATATTATTGTTTGTGAGTCTAGGTTGATTGTATACAGAAAATGAGTTTGGTCCAGTTCGAATCATCCAATGACTAAGACAAAATAAAAGTTTATTAAATTATTTAAACTATATATTTAGTCATTACATTAATATACTTACTTGGTAAAATAGTTGAAAAATCTTCTCAGGTCAACATTATTTAATCTAGCATGGCTTGTAATATCTTGAAATCCCAATTCTATTTCATTTATGGGAAGCAATGCAAGTACCATAACCATTTTAATACACATTTTAGCAGTCTTGTTGTTTTTTTTATGTATTCTGGGTAACTTAAACGTTTAATATTTTTCCATAAGCTCTAATTAATAAATAAAAATAAATAGTTGTATTTTAGGCATATTAATTCTAATAAATATGTACTTATACCTGTATAAAATGGAACTAACACGACAGGAAAGTAGCATTGGGATAAAAATTTGCAAATGCATTTTTCAATCCAATTTCAAAATCAGTCATTATGACAGACGGTTGAATGTTTGGAAAAATGGTTTTAAAACGATTTATAACTTTTTGGTAAGCCTCCTGTGTTTTGCTTTCCATTAAGACATAGAACATTGGGATTGACTAAAAATTGTAAACCCATCTAACACAATATTAATAATATAGGGCCTCTGCTTTAAGAAATGGCAATCTAAGTTAGGCCAATTTAAAATATACTTACGTGAATTTGTAAAATCATATGTATTATAAATAACTGTTGGCACTTTGGCATAGATAGGACAACCTTAAAGGTCGCGTCAGTATGCAACTCTGTACTCCCATTTAATACAACTTTGTTAACAACTTCTGGACAAGCAAACATGACATGGCACTTTCCAAAGTCATCGACTATGTACCCCTGGTAAAATTAATGGTCATTACATTAAATTAACCTTTTCAGACCCCAGGGGCACTATAGTGTACCTTACTTTTAATAATTCATTACGTAGCATCTTGCCAACATATTAGTTCGAACAAGCGAGAATTTTATTTTAGTATACATATAACCCGATATAAACCCGATATAAATAGTATTAGAAAGAATAACAACCGATAAAAATGATATTTATAACTTAATTCTAGATATAATATCGATAATTACATTTCTACGATGATTTATTGCTTATCTGTTATATTGCACTTGATAAGACCAACGGTATTTTTTTTCCTGGTAGTGAAGTTAGTAACGAATCTATACAAACGTTTTTCGTTATCATGAATACAATCTTACGAGTTTTATATCAGTTAATATGGAGGTACACTATCGTGTACGCTAGGCCTCCATGATATAAAAAAAAACATGTGATACATGATAATTCTATTTTTATTTCGTGTTATATCATTACCGCGTTTATATCGTTTATAGAAATAATTACCATATAAAGGTTTTATTTTGTGTATTGCTTTGTTATAATAAAATAATATATAATCAAAATGTCAAAATTACGGTCTTCTGACATTTTATCGATACTTTATGATTCGGAAATTGATAATTCATCTGGTGATGAAATTGACGACTTTCCACACGAAGAGTTAGATAATCTTTTGGTGGAGTTTGCTTCAAGTGACATTGAAGAAGCCATCGAAGAAGATGATGACAGTATTATAATACAAACAAATAAAAAAGACATAAAATGGGTAAGCCTGCCATTTAATCCACCGATTTTAAAATTAGATAGTTTAGATGACACAGTTCCTAGTCTTATAAAAACGCCAATGCAATATTTTTTAGAATATTTTGATAAAAATTATTTTGAACAAATTTCTTATTTCACTAATTTATACGCAATCCAAAAATCTCAAACAAGGTTTAAGCCAACTTCTGCTGATGAAATTAAAATTGTAATCGGTATTCATATTATAATGGGATCGCTGAAGCTTCCTCGTGTCCGTATGTACTGGGAAAAAGATACTCGCGTACCTCTTGTTGCAGATAATATGACAAGAGATCGTTTTTTTTCAATTCGATCAAATATTCATTTTATTGATAATATGACAATACCACCAGGCAATAAAGATGTTTTTATAAAAATTCGACCACTATACGATACAATTCAAAAAAAATGTAATTCTCTTCCTATGGAGAGGAATATTTGCATTGACGAACAAATGGTCCCTTTTAAGGGCCATTTATCAATAAAACAATATATAAGAAATAAACCTAACCCGTGGGGTATTAAAATTTTTGTGTTATGTGGCGAAGGTGGCATTGTATACGACTTTGTGCTATATCAAGGTGCTAATACCGAAATTGATTCACAAGTTCAAAAACAATTTGGTCAAGGTCCAGGAGTCGTATTACATCTTTGCAAAATCGTTAAAAAAAATAAACATTTTCTTTACTTCGACAATTATTTTTCATCATTCAATCTTTTTGAACGTTTGCAGCAAATAGGTATTTGTGCCGCTGGTACGATACGTGTTAATCGGTTTGCAAAACCACCAATACTTTCGGATAAAAACTTGGCAAAAATTGGAAGAGGGACTACTTTTGAAGTTCGTTCTGATGTACCTAGTTGTAATATAGGTCTTGTACAATGGTNTAAGCTCTAATTAATAAATAAAAATAAATAGTTGTATTTTAGGCATATTAATTCTAATAAATATGTACTTATACCTGTATAAAATGGAACTAACACGACAGGAAAGTAGCATTGGGATAAAAATTTGCAAATGCATTTTTCAATCCAATTTCAAAATCAGTCATTATGACAGACGGTTGAATGTTTGGAAAAATGGTTTTAAAACGATTTATAACTTTTTGGTAAGCCTCCTGTGTTTTGCTTTCCATTAAGACATAGAACATTGGGATTGACTAAAAATTGTAAACCCATCTAACACAATATTAATAATATAGGGCCTCTGCTTTAAGATATGGCAATCTAAGTTAGGCCAATTTAAAATATACTTACGTGAATTTGTAAAATCATATGTATTATAAATAACTGTTGGCACTTTGGCATAGATAGGACAACCTTAAAGGTCGCGTCAGTATGCAACTCTGTACTCCCATTTAATACAACTTTGTTAACAACTTCTGGACAAGCAAACATGACATGGCACTTTCCAAAGTCATCGACTATGTACCCCTGGTAAAATTAATGGTCATTACATTAAATTAAATTGTGCTGAGCATCTAATATTTCTCCAAGTGCCAGTAATGTTGCAGGCAATGCTGGAATATTTTTGCGTCTAGCCAATCTCATTGACACCTCAGCAGTTGGCCAGTGATACATAGTAGCTCCATTTGGATCACTAGCAAATGAATAAAAAAGTTGAACTTCTGGTTAAACATGTTATAACATTATAAAGTATAACTAGATACATGTAGTTAAGTTGTTTTAAAATAATAAATTAATTATTGGTAGAACTGTGTATTTAATTATATCAAATTGAATAAAATATATACCACTAATTTTACTTATAAAAAAGCAAACTTTGCAGAGAGTAGGATAAATTCTGTATATTATTTATAACTGGAACAGAAAATTATTGTATACCTAGTTATGAAAGGAACGTTTAAACTTTTAGGGAAGCTATGGATTAAACTCTTTAGGACACACTTTGGTCTGTGGGTGGGTGTCTATTTGTTGGTGTTGTACGGCCTTCTAATAACTCTATATTAGTCACAAGAAACCATAGAGAAAGGGAATTGTAAAAAGTGTGTTTTCAATATGGTCTCTTAAATTGTATTGAATTACAATAAATTATTATTAGTTAAGGAAAATTATTAGATTTAATAATTGAAAACGTATTAACATAATTGATGTCTTCTTGGTCGTAAATTATCCTTAAAAGAGTGGTTTCATTTACAGCTCTCTCCATTAGTTTTTTACGGATGTTGGATATTTCAGACTTATTATTTGGATTTGGATCATGAGTGTGAGTGTTCCGACCTAATACAAAAGTTCCATCTATTTTTCTTTTTAACGTGGCTTTGCAAGACACATTTGGACTGGATCAGATATAATAACTAAATCATTAATAATTAATAAGTAATAAATTACCATCATTCAAATTATATACCATATTATTTTAAATGAAAATATTAACTTACTGAACACCGTTTTTAGAGCCGTTAGCTTAGTAGTAAAATTCACAGTGTTTCATTTTAAATGTTTATTAAATTTGACATTGAAACAATAAAACTAGAAATAATTTAAGCGGAAGAGTAAATATTATGTCAATTGCCAAGCTGGAATTAAAAATATAATATAATCTCCAACATGGGATTATCGGAATAATATGTTGTATAAAATATTGTATGTTTACTTACTGTTGACTATTTATAATATTTGTCTTATTTTTCATTCATTATTTATAGTTTTCACTATTTTAGGAATATACAGTGCAATACCTAATTTATTGTCCAAACAACTGCCTGCTTATCTCGCCACACTGTCGAATTTTGACTAAGCGTTATCAACTTTTCACTATCATTTGGCCGATTTCGAAAAATGATCTTATTTTTTTTATTTTTTAGCCATTTTTGACAATTGTTGAGCCCTTTTTGCTTCCTTTATATTTTATTCGCCTAGCTCAGTAGTATGTGTTTGGGGAGTTTGGCTCCATTTTTACAGGGAGATGAAAAAAAATCAAAAGAACAAATTACCCTTACAGTGCATCCAATCTCCCTGTAATTTCAAAACAAAAATTTAAATGTTTAACCAGTTACATTATTAATTGCCAGACATGATGTTAAATAATACATAATTAATTTAAAATATTTAGTTAGTTTTTAATGAACCGTTGATCAATCAAGTTGTGTTTTATTTTTTATTTTTCCGACAAATTATCTTATTGATTTTTACGATTAAATATTTTCAGTTTTATCAAAAACCATGAATTTACAGAAATTTTCAATCGATTTTCCATCTTTAGTTTATTTGGTGCGAAATAATTCATATCCAGTCTATTCAGATTCTACAACATTTTTATCGAGATTAAAATCATATAATTCTTTTCCATCCACTTCGTGTCAAAATAAATATACATTATCTGAATCTGGTTTCAGATATACAGGAGTAGGAGATATAGTTGAATGTTTTTTCTGTGGACTTGTTTTACAAAAATGGACAAATGATGACATACCGTGGGTTGAACATGCAAAATGGAATCCTAAATGTATATTTGTTTTACTATGTAAGGGAAATGAATTTATAGAAAATGTAAAAAACGAATATGTAAAAGCAGGTCATGTTTGCGATTGTAATGAGTCTAAATCATATGACACCACTTGTTAGTTTACTTACATTAATTATATTTAAAAATTTTGTGCACGCATTACGAAATAAATATTGAATTTATAGACTTAAATGTGTTTGTATTTGATTTTATACCCTGTGAACTTGTTGTCTAGTGAAATAACGCGTCATGTTTTAATTGAATATTCTGGGTTTNTATTATATTTTATTCGGGTCATAAGGGGGGCCACACATTAATGATTTATATTATATCTTTTTTTTGAACTGTATTATCGTGTTGCTGGGATTCTAATATAGTTACATTATTATTGATTTCGTGAATTATACAGCAACTAATTATTTACTTGAACGTGTTACCTTTTATTATTAATTTTTAAGCACACACTCACACAAATACACACTTACACACACACCACACACTAGCACTCTTCGGTCTTGCTCGGCGACCCCGTCCACTTCCTTTGAGTCGCTATACACATATACACACATTTACACAGGTCGGTCGGTGTGTGAGTACCGCGCGAAGTATTTAAGGTGACCGGGCGGCACGGCCTATTATTGTTTCGTATCCGGCCCGTACATTTTGGTGACCTCGACGTGATCATATATTTATATCTGTGTGAGTATTATCTTTAATTTACGGACGCTATATGCGTTGAATTAATTGCCCTTGTCGTTGGATTTAAATAATATTTTTTTTTTTTTTTAATTATTATTTTCAATAAATTTATTGATTATCAATTTTAGGAGTTTGATCATGTCAGTCGGAGTAATTATAATTTGATAAAAACTGTTATTATTGTTGTCGTTTGGGCGTTTTGCATATTTAAACACTTGTTTTTGAAGTTATCAGGACAACATGGTTCTTGATGACAATGATAGGAAGGTCTTAAGCGATTTGCGAAGAAAAAGGGGGGTAGTCAAGGCATCCCTGACGCGTATTCGCACGTTTGTTCAGAGCTTTAGACCGACAGTGGATGCGATAACATTATTAGAATTCAGACAAGAACAATTACCTGAAGTCAACCGTAAATTTGATGACATTCAGTCTCAGATTGAGCTTATTGATATTGATAATGCTGCAGAGATTGATAAAGATAGAGAGGAGTTTGAGAATGATTATTTTGCAATTAGATCGGAAATGCAAGAATTAATCAACGCAGAAAAAAGTCATAACTCATCTATTCAAAATAATACCATGAATTCCATGCCCATGCAAAGAGCTCGGTTGGCACCATTGACCCTACCAAAATTTGATGGTAACATCCAGGAGTGGGAATCCTATTTTGATTGCTTTAAGGGTATGGTGCACAACGAAGATGCTTACCCACCAGCTCAAAAATTTTCGTATTTGAGATCTTCGCTTTCTGGTGCAGCATTGGATGTGATCAAGGCAATTCCAATGACTGAGAAAAACTATTCTGTAGCAATTAAAAGATTACAGCAACGATTCGAAAACAGGAGTATGGTAATACAATCTCACATTCGTGCTATACTGGATTTTAAACAAGTAGAGTCCGCTGTTGCCAATGATCTGCAGGCACTGCACTCTAATATTGTCGCACAGGTCGCAGCACTAGAAGCGCTAGGACAGCCGGTAGATATGTGGGACGCATGGTTAGTGACAGTTTTGCTTAGAAAAGTTGACCGTGGAACATGTCATGAATGGCAAATACGGCGTACAAACAATGAACTGCCAAAGTATAAGGAATTAGAGGAATTCCTGGCTAGTCGTTGCATAGCTTTTGAAAATTCGGAAACATGGGACAATAGCAATAATGGAACCAAAAAAAAGTGGACGAATCCGCATGCCGGAAAAAGACTTACGTTAGCAGCAACAGAAGTCAAGTCTGCAAAATGTCCTTGCTGTAATCAAATTCATAAACTATATCACTGTGAAAAGTTTAAAGAACTTAAACAAGGTGACCGGTTCAATATTGTAAGAAGTGCTCGTTTGTGTTTTAACTGTTTGAGTCCTTACCATATGGCTCCGTCTTGTCAATCGACCTCCGTTTGTCAGCACTGCAAGAATAGACACGATACATTATTGCATAATGGAAAGTTCGGTCAAGGTGAGGCATCAAAGCAGTATAGCAATGAAGATGAAGATCCACAAACTTCTTCTGCTCCTCCAGATAAGCGACAGTCATCAGTGCATTCGTGTCTTGCAGCAAAGCCAACAGACACGCATGTTTTTCTTTCAACCGCCATAGTACAAGTGCCTGATAGTCGTGGTATTATGCGCGACACAAGAGCGGTATTAGATAGTGGGTCGATGGTGAATTTTATTTCGAGAGGTCTGTTAAATGTCCTGCAACTCAACACTCAAAAAACAAGGTTGCCAATTCGAGGAGTGGGAGCTAGTCAAGTTCAGTCTGTAGCGAAGGTAGAAATAAGTTTGAATTCTAAGATCACAAACTACAAAATAATTTTGCCATGCTTTGTGTTACCAACTGTTGTGAGTGAACTCCCAGCATGTAATGCACCAACAAGAAATTGGAACATTCCCTTTGAGCTAAGATGTAAACTGGCAGATCCCAAGTTTGATAAAGCTGGGTCAGTTGATCTCTTAATTGGAGCTGGGATATTTTATGAGTTACTAGAAGCTGAGCGCGTGGCTTTGGGAATCGGAAACCTCAGTTTACAAGACACGAAACTTGGTTGGATTGTCACAGGCGGGCTTGAAGTTACTTGTCTTCTAGGCATTAATTCTCTTGGAGAAACAATGGAAAGTGACTAGAAGGCAATACTTGCAGATGAGCAACAATATGGAAAAGGATCAAAGGCAAATCGAAGGTGTGAAGAAGAAGAAGAAACTCTCCAGCATTTCAAGAAGTCGGTTAAGCGAAGTGAAGATGGTCGCTTTGTTCTGCGTTTACCAACCAAGCCAGAGACGCAAAACTTAGGTGACAGTTTAGCGATGGCAACTTCAAGGTTCATTAATATTGAAAGAAGGCTTCAGCGAGATGAACAGTTACGAGTGGAGTATGTAAAATTCATGAAGGAGTACCTTGATATGGGGCATATGCGAGAAGTGACGACCCAGGAAGAATTGTTTAAAAAGGGATACTATTTACCACATCGACCGGTGCTGAAGTCTTCGAGTCTTACAACCAAGACACGAGTAGTCTTCGATGGTTCAGCAAGAACTACATCCGGATTGGCACTAAATGATGTACTCATGCGTGGGCCTACAGTCCAAGAAGATATTTTCTCAATTCTAGTTAGGTTTCGGAAACATCAGTACGTAATCACGGCTGATATTGAAAAAATGTTTCAGCAAATAATGATAGCGCCAGAAGATCGTCACTTACAAAGAATACTTTGGCGTGCAAATCCAAGTGAAATGCTCCGAACCTACAATCTGTTGACAATTACATATGGTACGACACCCGCATCCTTTATGGCCACGCAATGTTTAGTTACGCTTGCTAAAGACATAGAAAAGGAGAATCCAAAGGTGGCGGAAGTAATAAACAGGGACTTTTACATGGATGATCTTATGACAGGTTGTGATACGGTAGAAGAATGTATGCAGTTACAAAGGCATATAACCGTGATTTTGGAATCTGCAAAACTACCATTGAGAAAGTGGTGTTCGAATTCTCATTTGATCATTGCCAACATAAGTGTGAACCAAAAGGATCCTTTTTTCGCTTTAAATCTAGGTGATGAGGATACTGTTAAGTCTTTAGGGCTATGCTGGCAACCAGCACCTGATCAGTTCAAGTTTAATATTTCGATTCCTTTAGATAAAGTAGCACTGACAAAGCGAAAGTTGCTATCAGAACTAAATAGGGTGTTCGATCCTTTGGGATTCTTGGGTCCTGTCCTCATCAAAGGCAAGATTTTTCTTCAACATCTCTGGCAGCAAAAAATAGATTGGGATGCACCACTACAGTCAGATATTCAAGAAAAATGGAGAAGTTACTACTCTGGACTAGAGTTACTTAAGGAACTTTCTATTCATCGTAAGTGCAAGTTCCAATCTGGTGACCAATTTGAAGTGCATGAATTTTGTGATGCGTCAATGGAAGCTTACGGAGCGTGCATATACATACGGAGTTCAGATCATCAAGGCATATGGCACGCACGCTTGCTTTGTTCGAAAACTAGAGTAGCACCACTCAAGTCAACAACAATTCCAAGACTAGAGCTAAGCGGAGCACTTCTCTTAGCTCAGTTAGCAGCTAAGGTAGCAGACTCTTGAAGCATAAAGTGTGAAACTATTCATTTGTGGACGGATTCAATGATAGTTTTGGGGTGGCTCAACAGCCATTCATCACGATTAAAGACGTTTGTAGCTAATCGTGTTAGTCAAACTTTAGAGATAACAAGAGCTAAACAGTGGCATCATGTACCAACAAATGAAAATCCAGCCGACGTACTTTCCCGAGGAGCAACAGCGCAAGAGTTGCAAGAGGCAGATGGTTGGTGGTTTGGGCCACATTGGCTATCAAACGATACAGAATCGAGGAGCAAGGCAACTGATCTTGAACAGATACCAGAAGAAGCACTACCAGAGCTTAGAACTATGCAATTGAGTCTGGTTGTAGTACAGCGAAAAAATGTATTGCTAGATAAGCATTCAGAATGGAAGAAGTTAATTCGCGCAACGGCTTGGATTTTGAAATTTATTGAATTCTTAAAATTTAAAAAATGTACGAAAAAGGTGATTAGGTATCTAACAGTATCAGATCTTAAAAAGGCAGAACAATGGTTGGCAAGATGTGCTCAAAAGGATGAATTTGTAGCAGAATTTAAAGCGCTAACTATTGGTAAGGAACTGCCAAATAACAGTAAGATACGAGGACTATACCCATTTCTCAGTACAGACAATCTAATTGTGGTCGGAGGAAGATTACATCATGCATCGCTTTCGGATGAACAAAAGCATCCTATAGTTTTACCGTTTGGTCATAAGGTCACGCAGCTAATTTTTATATACTATCATGAAATACTGCTGCATGGAGGACCCCAGTTGTTGTTATCAGAAGTAAGACTTCGATTTTGGCCTGTAAAGGGTAGAATGCGTTACGTTACGTGTGTTCGAGCCAAGCCTAAATTTCAAAACCCGATTATGGCTACCTTGCCAAGTACCAGAGTACGGCCTGCCAGACCATTTGCGACAACAGGAGTTGATTTTGCGGGACCCTTGGATGTTCGAAGTGGTATACGCCGTGTCACAAGCATAAAGACATGGATTGCAGTTTTTGTGTGTCTAGCTACTAGAGCAATACATTTGGAGCCAGTGGTTGGTCTTACAAGTAATGCCTTTTTTGCGGCGCTGCGACGGTTTATGGCACGAAGAGGTAAATGTTCAAAAATATATAGTGACAATGCAACAAACTTTGTGGGTGTTCAGCGAGAATTATCAACCTATCTGCGAGGTGTCGATGCAAGTGTAGCCAAAGAAGGAATAGATTGGCATTTTAACCCTCCAGCAGCACCACATTTCGGTGGAATTTGGGAGAGTGCCGTGAAAAGTGCAAAGCACCATCTGACTAGAGTAGTTAAGGATGCTAGGCTCACGTTAGAGGAGCTAGGGACTTTACTCTGTCAAATTGAGGCATGTTTGAACTCTCGCCCATTGACCCCGTTAAGTTCCCATCCACTAGACTTAGAGCCCATAACACCAGCACATTTTTTAATTGGGGGACCATTACTCCTGGTCCCAGAAACTGATTTATCGAATGAAAATATCAGCACATTGCGAAAATGGAGATATGTGCAGGCCTTGATGCAGACGTTCTAGAAAAGGTGGTCAAAGGAATATTTACCACAGCTTCAAGTTCGAGGCCGTTGGTTAGCTCAAACTCAGCAAATGAAAATTGGAGATATTGTTATCATCAAAGAAGAATGTGCGCCTCCAGGGAAATGGAAATTAGGAAAAATACTAAAGACACATCCGGGTAGTGATGGGATTGTGCGAGTAGTTACATTGAAGACATCAAATGGTAATGAACTGAAGCGACCAGTTGTCAAACTATGCCGTTTACCAGTAGAAGAAAATGACCCAAATTTCGAAAATCATAATTTTCAAAGGGGGGAGGATGTTTGCGCCGCCGCTGATACTCGCGTTTGATAATTGCCGTTTAATTATTTTTATTAATGCCTCCGCACTACCACACCGCACC